TCAGTAACTGTACGACTTTTTCTTGCTGTTCTTTCCACTTTCAAATGAGCCCTGCGCTTACGACGCTCTCCCTCCTTTGCAGCCAAATACAACCTCGTGATGCGATTTCCATCAAAGCGTGCCCCGCCTGGAAATCATGACTGCTGCCATTCTATTAGAAGTGAAAAACTGGAAAGTTGGTGAAGATTAGTTGAAAAGAAGACCATGGCGTACTTTGGAACGCAGGATGCACTTTTCGTGTGGGTGGGGGTGCTTTTATTCTTATAGACCACATTATATTCTCCTGGCGTATAAAAAGAAGCAAACGTTTCACAGTTTCAAAGTTCACCATTACTGGTCCCTTTGGACATTGGTCGGATCATTTCTCCACAGGGATGCGAGAGTCGAACAGTTTCGGCTCCCTGCTCTCTACCAACTTCTTGATATCCAGCAACCGCTTCTGTTCGTAGCCACAGGGTGCATACAACCTGTACACAAACTATACAGTTCCTTACAAGGTTTTAGTGGTAAGAGCCTCGACATTTCTCTTACTGAGGACCCCTGACGTGCTCTCAGAAAAAAAATGGTTGGTCGGCTGATGTCGTAGAGGGGTAGAATAGTGAAGATTTTCCCGATAGGGCGATAGTTAATATTGGATCCATTTTTGAAAGTTTACTGCTCTGCTCTGCTGAGTACCGAGGACTGAAGGGTGTCATAAAGGGGTTAGTTGAAAAAAAGGAGAGAACTCCCTGACAGAGCTTCATCTCTTGTTCAATAAACCGAGTGGAACCAGCTCATGACCGCTCACCATGTGGACGCGAGTGCCGAAGACTATCCAATACAGTGACGGTCGGCAGATTGTGTGCTGCGAAGGTTCACTATCTGGAAAACATAACTTTAATATCGTTAGATCTTATAATACCCTTATCCTATTTCCATTTGGAACAGTAATCACTTTTGAAGACGCTGCGGTCAATTATCAGCAGGGCAGACCATGTAGACGTCAGCATTTGCGCTTGCTGATGACTCTGGTACAAGTTAACTCGTCCGATATGGCTTACTCGCTGGCTCAGGCGCGAGTCAAGCCGGGATCTGGCCCTACAACGCGCATGTGGTAAGTGGCGGGTGTTTTCAAGCAGGGGACATCATCGTTGTGTGAAAGACGCAGGGTGTCGTACTTTTCCGCTGGGGGGGGGGGTGGTCGCATGTGGCTTTGAGAGTAATTTGCCGCGTTGGGGAAATTCTTCCCCGCTGTTGACTCTCCGGGGCTTTTCGCGTGATTTTTCCTGTTTCAGGTGTACTACGAAGCCAAACTTGAAAATGTGACTTATTGTTCTGTATGTGGTTGGGGGAAGGGGGGGGGGGGAGTGTGTACGCGAGAGCCTCATTTAGGAAGCTTGTGTCGGTATAATACACCACCAGTTTCGCACATCACTGACTGCTGTACCCTGGCTCCAGACTATCGTGATATGCCGCCGCTCGACGGAGGCCGCGGCCAGTGACGCGCTCACGACAGTACGAGTTATTTTGCCTGTCTATTCAAATTAAGGGTTGAGCTGATGGGTAGAGCGCTGTATTCCATCTTGGATTACGCTGCTTGAATTCGTATTAGTTCAGGTCCAATGAGACCACCGCTCAGCACTGTTTCGGAATTTCAAAACATAATCACAAAATTGAAAGTTGGCAACGAAGCCTAGGGCTTTCGTCTATCATTATACGCTGAGGGGGCCTAATGCGATACCAATTGCATAAATGCCACTTCGTTCACATCAGCAGTGTCTTTTCAATGCTTAAACATGCCGTGGGCTTCCTTCCGTTCACCTCAACTACCTTGTTCGGTGGTCCTTGTCTAGCAACTGGTGGGCGAGGACTTTAGCTTTGCTGGACTTCTTCATCAGGCATTCTAATTTTTTCCATCCAGCCCATGCTTGGCGGGATGAGGCGCATACATACTCACGCTGTAACCGATTTTTCACTTTGAACCCATTGAGTCTCATAATCTGATTCCCTGACGCTTTTGGCAATCAAGTCAAGGCATGGGCGGTGAAGAATACATCATAAATTCCTAGACATGTAGGATCAAATGCGCTAATGAGGCAAGGTACAGTTAGCGCCGAGTGTGCCTTTCGTGTGTGTTTCGTTCGCCCGCTTATCATTTGTGTCATACTGAATAATGCCCTTACTGCTGGCTCTTTTCCACGCTGATAGCATTTTTATTCAAGAAATGTAGGACTCTTGGAAGAATGATGTTTTCATGTGATCACAGCGTATACCTAACCGCTGAAAGAGGCATCATTTATCCATTAACTTTGACGAGTGTCAAGAGTTACAGAACAGTTGTTGCCTTTGCAGGAAGAATACCAGTATGAGAGCTATTTTGTACTGTCTCGTGGCTTTGGTTCAATATTCACAACAAGGAGCTTGGGCCGAAAGGTCCTTTGGTGATACAAGGGATTTCTACAAAGTGAGCCGAAATTTCTTGTACAAAACTATACGTCTCGCAGTCAATTCGAGCGTTTTCCACCTTAATTACAAGGTCATAGCGGATAATAGGGGTCCTACATCGCAAAGTAAATCTGCAAACTTTTTTACTTCAATAACTGTATAGCGGTGTGTGCTGTCCGAGCAGAACAACCCACAATTGAAAGAACTCGAGCACTGAACTTGAACTTGAGCAGATGCTGGACGAAGAGTGCACGCTTCAGCAGCGTACACAAGTAGAATGTCGGGAATGTGTCGCTTGCAACGCTCCTTTCTCCACGGTCGAACGTGTCGCTTCAGAATGGATTCCACTCCCGTCTTAAGTTTTCGACAGCAATTGAATTTTTCCGTTCTTTTTTTATCTATTTTCGATTTTTGGGTTCTGTTCAAGTGGGCGCATTTGGATATCCAGGAATGCATCTAGAACGGATTCCTCCGTGAAGTGGGAGTGAGCAATTTTTGGTTCAGCGCTCATTAGCTTCATTTCTGGATGCGCCATGCATTAGGCTCTCACGCAGGGACAATGGGATGGTGCAATGTATGTCTACGCGAATAGAAGTGTTTATAAGATTCAGAAAGGTTCATGGTCTACCCAAGGAGGAGGTGGTGTAGTGACAAGTGACGCGCTTACCACTCGCGCGGCGCCGGGTTCGAATCCGGGTCGACACCCGCCCAGGCCAACCAAGCCTTCTACCCTCCGGGGACGGTAAATTGGTACCAGATTCGTCTGGGAGGATAAAACACTGACTTGTACATCGGCTGGCCACCGCAAGTCATTGTATAGGCCACATCGCATTCAATAAGCCACTACGATTCTGAATGGAAGTAGAATGCGTGCCGCATCCCACAAAGGGATTGATCAACGGCGAAGACTTTATCATTTTTTATCCTTTATGGTCTACCTACGCACTTGTTCACACTCATGCTCACTACGAACCATGGGGCGTGTTCGCCCCATCATTCGCGTTCGGCGCAATTGGTAGAGAACGGGTGTGGCGGCACCTCCCATATCCGTTCTCCACCAGTTGCTGAGTTGAATAGGCGACATCAAGTGCTGGAAAACTACTGATACGAATAATGGTCCTGTCGTTTGCCGAAAGAAAAAGAAACAGGTTGGCGCAGCGCCAAACGCAGTCGAGAGACACGCTCCATCATACGCAGCGCAGAGCATAAGTTGTAGCGTTTAGTTACCCACGTACTTACGAAATTATGTCAACTTATTAATAATACTAGTTATTCATAAATTAGTTTGACTATCCGAATTTTTGTACGGTTTTTTACATATCCTTGTTCCCTACAAAGCAAGTGTTGCTGTACATACTCAGCCCATAGACACCCTGTCCGTACTGACTGCCCCTCTCACTACGACCCCTCCCCATCTCAGCGGTCAGATACGACCCTCCCCCCTTGTTCCATCATTAATTCATCTTTTGAGTCTTTTCATATCGCCCAGCAAAAGAGGAAACTTGTTGGGAATCCCCAACGGTGATGTGCTCCGATTTTCGAATCACTCCAGACGAATGTGAACGGGGCCTGAACCCTGTAAATAGCTAAATTGATCTGAGGGAAGCGATTTGTGAAATTGACGAGCAAATTGTTTCCTCTACTGCTGGGCGATATGAAAAGATTTAAAAGATGGATTGGCTAGTAGCATAAGGGACGAAGCTTTGGAAACGATTAATCCCTTCTGGGATGCTGCACATACTCCATCCCCATTCAACAGCACGATAAAATCGATATGGCTTGGAGGGGGAGGCCATTCCGTTTCGTCTTTTGTTGTTCAGTTTTTGGTCCTTCGAGATGGAGGTGGTACCAGCCCACCGTCCCCGGAGCACAGAAGACTTGGTGGGCTTGAACGGGAATCGAACAAGGGTTTCGCCTCTGAGTTGTCATTGCGCCACCTGCCACTTATGCCTCGACTAACAGCATTGCACACCACACATTGCGCACAATACTCACATACTGTGAGCCTCCTCTTTTCTTCTGAGAAGTTTTCAGGTTTTCCGAGAGAATGCTACGTTCGACGAAGCAGAAAGGAGATGCGTTTTGCAAGGAGGGCATTTGGTATCAATCCACGGCGAAATGGAAAACCACTTTGTTACCGGTAAATCTTCTTCTTGCTCCTTTCAATCAGAGCAGCACAAGGAGGGACTGCCTAGAAGTAGTGGGCATACTCTTTAGATTTATTGTAAAGGAATGGTGCGTTATGTCCGCATAGAAGCATCGCGTTGGCAAAAGAGCGATGGAGTTTTCTTCTCCTATCAAAATGTCTTTATCACAACAATGTCGAACTATGAGCACATGCCTACTCCCCAAGCGAGACTCTTGCCATTTCAGCTTGATGGCTTCTAGGCCATAGCGTGAACTGCGATGTTGAACAGCAGTGAACACTCTGAACTTCTGCGAGAACTTCAGGAAAAGATAAAATTTCTCTTTAATGCGTCCTATACTGCCTAGTAGGGCTTTTAATTAAGTCTTCAAAGCGAAATGCTTGGACTTCTGTTTTCAAGGCATCAGAGCTGTGTAACAAGCTAACGAAAGGAGCGTTTCTGACCCCCGCTTTTTTGCTTCATTGAGTACTGTACCAGGAGAAGCTGCTCAATACTTTGAAGTGTATGGGTAAGAAGCACCGTTTCTTAGGACGGCGTAAGACAGATTCAAGCGAGTCAACGGAGAGAATTCGACCTGATATTCGTTAGAACGCGCGCTGCACGCTTTGGGAGCTGTCTCAAGTTCGGTGAGGAGCGGCTGTAGGCGCCAAGTTCCTCAGCTTTTTTCATTGAAGACAACTTTGCTCTTACCTCAGAATACGGTCTATGCCAATCCGTGGGAATGGGTACGCAGCTACAGTAGCGTGTACGGGAACAAGGCTGCAAGATCGTGATACTAAGCAGCCTTTCCTTCGCCTTTATACCCATCCCGCGCTGCACAACCCACCTGACCATAGCCCAACGTGCCAACAGTAGCGCCCCCTCACTTCTGGTTGTTCTCTTCCGCTCATTAAGCGTCAGTTTGCCTTCAAGGTGCCGTTTAATGAAAGTACGAGAGCATCCCATGAACTCTCACAATTCTTCATTGCCTCGCGTCCATGAAAAAGCTGGTTGCGTGAGCTTTCAATCGAATTCGTTGAGGCGTTCAGTGGTCTGCTTGTCTGCAAATTCAAAATGTGAACATCAGTCATTCGAACCAGCTCTAAACCTTCTTGAAAGTTGTCTCTTGCTAGCCATTCACATCAGAAAAAGATGACTGCGGCGGCGCAACCCGAGTGTTTTCTCTTGACCACAAGTAGGAAGGCGCGTCAACAATGTTCAATTTGTCGTCTTGAAACTCGATTTTAGTCATTGGAATGTTAGTAGAAAAATAATCTCTGACGAATTTGGGCACACTGCGTTAGAGAGTGAAAACTTTCTACGATTTCTTGTAAAGTGAAGAGAGTCACAATTTCAAAACTCTTCATCATAAACGCAAAATCTTTTGTCTATCTTAGTAGAAGTACCACTGCTTACTGGTCACCGCAATACTGTGGAGCGAAAGATGGAAGGAAATTTGCAAAGAGCGCAATCATCTCTATTCCCGTCCTCTCTCATGTGCAAAAATATTTTTTACAAGCACGTCCAGGAATTTATTGTGCCACTTGCTCTTATAAGGGACTAGTCATCGGCGAAGACCTTGAACATGTAGTGAGACTCCGGAAAGTATATGTACCATTTTCACTTCAAATCGAACACATCTCGAACAAAATCGGACACCTTTTAAATCAAAACGGACACCTTCAGTAGGAAGTTGATAACTACTGATGATGTTACCACACCAGGTACTGCTGCAACCTGCGCCCCAACATCCCCGCCCATTTCTCAGCGCCGTCACGGTTTTCCAAAATATTTTATGAATTCTGCTTTT